TAATTGATCACTATCATTCTCATATGATAGATAAAGCATCAATTTTGTCTTGCATGAGTTTCAAACTTATATGTTTAATCCCATCTCATTTTAGAGATTTTAGCATTAGACATTAGATTATGCTCTCTATAATTACAAGTCCAACTCATGTTCTCCTTGATGTTGTATAGTTCAGGTTCAGTGTCAACTGTAGTCCAACTCAAATCTTTGTTTGAGTTTAAATGTCCAAGTCATGTCTTTGTTCATTTCAAGTTCTAGTTTTGATTTGAGTTCCTTATAGTTCAAGGTTGATTCAAGTCTTTGCTAACATCATTTGATATCCAAATCAAGTATGAGTTCAAGTTCAATTAAGTCCTCTGCGTCTTTGCAAGCTTGATTGCATGTTCAAATTGTCCACTGTTGTTTAATCCGGTCCGAGTTCATAAGTCCCTTGTAGTTCACTTGAATTCGAGCCATTCTTTGTTTCGTTTGCATTCAAACTTATTAGATTGTTTGAGTTTGAATTAAGTCCATTTGATGCTATAATCAAAGTCCAAGTAAAGCTCCAAATTGTTCCAAGTACGAATTGCACTTACCCGAAATTTCGACAGCCTTCCGGCGTCTCCCCCGTTTAGGGGAAAACTACGGAAAACTGGGCCTCCCGCCAAGCTAGAGAAAAGCGTGCACGGTAGGTGCCGAAGGGAGATCGGGAAGTCGTCGGCTTGTTGGAGTGGAGGCAGGTGCTCGGCTTGGAGGGGGGACTCGGATCGGGATGGAGTTCGATCGGGGCTTAGAGTCGAGAGCAAGTCGGAGCTCCGTATGAGCAGCGACGGGAGGAAGAGTCGAAAGAGAGGAGTTCTCGTGTGTGGAGCCGAGCGTGAAATAGCGGAGGAAGCGACTGTTTCGGCGCCGAATTCAGCAGGATATCAGGAAGGCCTCGGCGGGATTTCTGCTGGCATTCATGGATCTGATAGGTATTATTTTGATCGATTTTTTTTCTTCGATACAGAGGTTAACAGCTGCCCTGACTTTCTAATGTCTGTGAACATGTCCTTAAGACAGGTCGATCCCCTCCTCTCAAAATTTGTTCTGATCCTCATGTTATGCTCAGGCAAAGTCACAATCCCTCCAAATTTATTATTACTAAAATTATACTCTATATATTCAGTTTTAGATCTACTTAAACAAAAGTTTCTAGACTCTAAGGGGTTGTTTGGTATGCGGATTTAGGCCGGATTTTAGGCGGATTTAGGCGAAATCCAGCCAAACGGCCTAAAATGCAAAACCAAATCTCACGGAAAATCAAAGCCTCAGTAGACGAAAAATTCCACCTTTTCGTCGTAAATCCCGAATTTTGGAAATCCTCTCGTTCGACTGATTTCCGAAATCCTTTGGCTCTATTGGGCGAGAAGGAAGAAACTCCGCCCAAATCTTTCAACCTCCTTAAATCCTGAATGGAATAGCCAAACATTCACATAGGATTTATCATGAAGGTTACCAAAAAGTTCTCAAGATTTAACCCCCTCAGGAATTCGTAAATCTGAATTTGGAGGATTTACGAAATCCTACTTAAATGAAATCCTAGATTCTACCAAATAGCCCCTAAGGTTGACCTCCATAATTCATGTTTAGCATCAAGTCCCTCTATAGCCTTGCCAATAGGAAGAATACATCAATCTTTCTAAGTGTGTTTGGATGAGCATCAAAGCATTAATAATAGGAGATTATCGAGCACTTTTTTAGAGAATTTATCTACAATAAAGAGGAGAGCCGGCGACTAGGGTAGAGGAGGTGGACGAGTCCGACGGCTAGAGAAGAATATCGGGGCGTGCGAATCAAGGAGACTGGAGAGGAGAGGGGTTCAGCTTGGGGGTGAGATCTTCGACCAGAGGTGTGTGTGTGTGTGTGTGTGTGTGTGTGTGTGTGTGTGTGTGTGTGTGTGTGTGTGTGTGTGTGTGTGTGTGTGTGTGTGTGTGTGTGTGTGTGTGTGTGTGTGTGTGTGTGTGTGTGTGTGTGTGTGTGTGTGTGTGTGTGTGTGTGTGTGTGTGTGTGTGTGTGTGTGTGTGTGTGTGTGTGTGTGTGCAATTAAAAAAAGCAAGAAAATTTTTTAAAAAAAAAGAAGAGGGCAAGTTTGAAAAAGGGAGAGTTAAAAAAAAAAGAAGCAAGTGTATCAAAAAAAGAAAAAAAAAAAGAAAGAAAAAAAGAAAGGGATATTTGTGTATTTTGCATATTTCATCACCGCCGTCACATGCCACAACTTATAAAGGTATAATCTCCAAACCCCGAGAACCCTACACTCTGTGCTTGTAGTGCGGCGAACAACCACCCATGCATGCTTTTCTTAGCACAGTGAAAGGAAGTTCGTTGCGGTGCTCGCGGCGAGGTGGGTAATCCCCCCAAAGTACTGTCTTTAGCATTTATGCAGTGAAAGGAAGTTCGTTACAAGCTCTTATGAGTTATTGTAAATAAAATATGTTGTATGCTCGATACATAATATAACAATAACAACAACATCAAGCCTTTGTCCCGCTACGTGGGGTCGACTACATGAATCCTTTTTCGTCATTGTGTCATGTTAAAAGTCAAATTCTCATTTAAATCTAATAAAGAAAGATTATTTCTAATATTTTCTAACCAAGTCTTTTTAGGTCTACCTCTACCTTTCTTAACATAAGTCAAATGTAATACCTCAACTTTCCTAACCGAGTCATTAGAAGGCCTTCGTTTAATGTGACCAAACCATCTAAGGCGGCTCTATCTAATCTTAATTTCCACTGGAGCTATCCAACCTTTTTATGTATATGCTTATTTCATATCCTTTCTCTAAATGTAAAGCCACTCATCCACCTAAGCATCCTAATCTCTGTAACATTTACTTAGAATTATGCTTCTCTTTTAATGGCCAAAATTCAGCACCATAAAGCATTACAGGTCTCACCACCATCTTATAGAATTTTCCCTTAAGATTGAGGGGGACTTTTCTATCGCACAACAAGCCAGATGCATTCCTCCACTTCAATTATTAAACTTGAATTATGCTGATAATATCCTCATCTATTTCACCGTCACTCTGAACAATAGATCCAAGATATCTAAAACATGTACTCTAGTTAATGACTTGATCGCCTAGAGTCACAATCCCCTCACTAGGTCTATTGCTACTAAAATTACACTCCATATATTCAATTTTAGATCTACTCAAGCGAAAACCTTTAGACTTTAAGGTTAAACTCCATAATTCAATTTTACCTTCAACTCCTTCTCTAGTCTTATCAACAAGAAAAATATCATCAGCAAAAAGCATACACCAAAGTACATCCTCTTGCAAATGTATAGTGAGAACATCCATGACTAAAGCAAAAAGATATGGGCTTAAGGCTGATCCTTGATGTAATCCAACTGAAATAGGAAAATACTTGGTCAAACCACCTTGTGTTTGAACACAAATAATAGCTCCTACATACATATCTTTAATGATTTGAATATAAGCGTTATTAACTCCTTTCTTTTCAAGAACTCTCCATAGCACTTCTCTTGGAACTTTATCATATGCTCTCTCTAAATCAATAAATATCATATGTAGATTTTCCTTATTCTTTATATATTTCTCCATCAAACCTCTCAATAAATGTATGGCTTCCATAGTAGACCTACCCGGCATGAATCCAAATTGATTTTGAGATTTATCATATGCTTGATACATAATCCACAAGCAAAATACAAAGTGATTGCATCAAATGTGCAAGCCTACAAGTCGCTGAAAAATACCCATCGCATACAGACAAAAGCATCTACAAGCAAATACAGAAAAGTACTCATTCATACAATAGTCCACTCACAACCATGTGATGTCAAGCAAATGAGAGACTACAATCTCTTACAAGTTCTAAACATTGATGTGCTATGAGTATAGCAATTTACTAGCTAATATGCATGAAGCGATTGGTGAGAAGTATAACTCAGTATGCACTCATCATCAACATGTAAGCAGATGCACTAAGCTTTCTATGGATAAAGACTCAACTGCAAATATGAGAGATCCTTTGCAAGCACACGAAAGTTAGGGGAGGAAGCTATAATATCCAAAATTTGTTAAAAGTAAACATGAATATTTCTCAATAAAATAATTCCTTATTTTCTCACATATATGGAAAATGTCAATTTATTTTCATTAGTTTTTTATTTTAATTTTGATCATCATAGTATATTTATCTCTATTCATTTAAAAGGCACGTTAACTTTTAAATATAATTATTGTCTCTTTTGTTTTAAATAGTTAATTAAGTATTAGCTGAACTAGTACTTAGCATTTACTTCAATGAATGATTTAATTGCGTGTCACGACAAATATAATTTCTTCTTTGTCACTAAGTGACAGTTAAAAACTGAACTCTGCAATCTTTTTGAAGCTTATTCGAAGAATGAAACTAAGTGAGAAACTGGAATTCATTCTCTGTTCTCTTTTCATAGGATGAGTCGTAAACAACTAGCGTATAACTGATTTTTGTACACTAACTTAGGCTTCGTTTGGGACGGCTTTTTTATTGCTTACTAAAACGGAGTTTTAGTAAAAAATAAAAAAAAATTGTACTAAAACTCCATTTTAGAAAGCAACAAAAAAACAGTCCCAAACGAAGTCTTAATATTAATGACTTTTTTTAAAGCCCTACATCTGAATTCATATAAAATTAAGCTTTAAATTTATCTTTTAGTTTATAGTTTAAATTATATTAAAATCTTTTAGTTTAAATTTAACATTTGAATCATATAAAATTAAGATTTAAAATAATCTTTGAATTCATATAAAATGTATTACTGCATGTTACCTGTCTTTACCAACAATAGACATTTTTTAGTTTATTATAGTTATCAACATAATCTCAGCAAATATTATTAAGCGGAAAGATCAAATCTTATGAACATGCAATATAATTATCAAAATAAATTTTCTATAAATAGTGCATTATCATGCAATAAGTTCAACATAAACTTAAATATTTAAGTTTTGGAGCGTGATGAACCTGTGAGGCAGCAAATTTCCGTAAAGTGAGTGCAGAGATATAAGAGGCGCCACAATACCATCCAGGAATGTTGCTATCGTTCATATAGTCAGCATATAGAGTAGCAAGGAAAGCAGCATTCACTGCATATGGCAGAGGTTGTAGGTTCCTGCGATTCAACTGAATCAAACCACCTGCAAAGCAAGACATCAAATTTAAGAAGTAAAGCAATGAGTAAATTTATATATATACATGCATGTGTTAGACCGGCCCATCCTGGGCCGGTTGGACCGGTCCAACAGGGACCGGTCCAATTCTATTCGAGGCGGAGACGGAAGGGGCGGGCGGAAGGCGCGATCCGCGTGGGGCTTGAGGCGGAAAGTTAGGAGGGAAATTTTGAACTTGCGAGGCTGTTTTAGGAAGTTTATGATTGTCCTTTATTGTCCTTTATGATTAATTCTGTATAATTAGGAGTTGGGGGGGGAAATTAGGGGGCATCTTGAATTTGAGAAGACAACTAGTCATGAACATCCAAAACGGAGATCGTTTAAAAGAACACTTCCATTAATAATAATTTTATTTATTTTATTTTCTTAATAATAAAACTTAATTAAGAAAATAAAAAGCTGCAACAGTTACCTTTACTATATTTGAAAATCTTGAACATTTGAAGAAGAGAGCACATGTTAAAATCAACAGTTTTGTGATAAGCTCTAAGCATTTCCTCATAAGGGTATCCTGGGTTCAAGACAATCCTCAGCCTTACCAAGAGTAGCTCAGCTCCTGGAAGCTTATTGTCCCAGCTGAACACGCTCAAATATGGAATCTGAGAGAAGGCATTAGCATTATTTGGCAATGTTGGGGATGTGGCTAGTGATAAATAACTATAGTTTCCAGTGGCATAGTACATCCATGTAGCTCCCCAGATAAGTTCATCCCAAAAACCACTAGAGTTGTAGAATGGTACACTGGCATTATTTTCAACTGAATAAGCTGTTTGTTGGCTAGAAACAATAGCAAATTTATAAGCAATTTTTGCTGCATGAACGAGTTTCTTGGAGTACTTGGGTTCCTCTTGGAATACAATGGAAGCAGCTGCTAGAGCGGCTGCAATCTCACTTGCAAGGTCAGGAGCTACACTTGCAATTTGCACTGGCCGGGGGTATTCCATGTCTTCTGGCCTCTGCCAGCAGAAGTGATCATCAGGGCTAGTCGAGCCTACTTTTGCCGCACCAACCTAATAAACAAACATGTGGAGATTAGTGGCTACGAGTCTTTTTCCTTTTCTAACTAAAGGAGACGAATCACTAGTAAGAAAATTAAAGAAAGTGATTATATGATCAAGACATTCTCCTAAACAGTTTGAAATTGTTCATATGCTCATGAGAAGATTAACATAATCTCAGTGATAAATGATGTCTTAGTGCATAAGGTCTCTAAATACAGGTATAATATGCGAAGAAGAAAATTAAAATTATGTAACACAAACAAAATTTCATCAGTCACAAACTTTTAATTTAACAGTTATTCATTATTTCTGTTGAAAATATTAAGAGAATCAATTCAGATGAAATTTTAATAGTCTCCTATTAGAAAATTGCTTAAAAATTCAAAATCATGAAAACAATGCAATTGAAAATCATATACTCTTAAACTTAGATTTTATCAAACTTGAATAAAATCAATCATTTACTCCATCCAACAACAAGATTTATAGAAGGAAAATAAAGTTTAAAAAAAACAAAGGAAAATAAAGTCACCAAAGTTAGGCCCCTCGAGGAAGTAACCTCTATCAAAGATCTTCAAATATCTTACTTGATGAAGGAGTAGACTCCATAAAATAAAAGGAATATCACATCTAATAATAACTTGATCATGTTTTGAGTTTTATGTTGGAAATAACTACTATTTATTTGTTTTTTAAATAAACCAAAGGCTTCTATTTATTAAAACAACCTTTTAAAACACTCATACAATTAGAAAACCCATATAATAGTTTGCTATTAAAAATATAGACATTGATATACATTGAACATGATATTATAATGTTATATCTTCAAAATTAAAAAAAAAAATTGTATTAAATTGCACAAATGAACTAAACATATAATTTTATTAAAAAATGTTGTCGTTCTCAGGCCTCAAGCTCTCAATGAGAAAAGTGGAGGGTTGTATTAGATAGTTGATAGTCAGCATAAAACTTATCAAAAAATGAATTATTTAATATATTATGTTAATATTAGGATGTTCACTTAAAGCGACACTGTGTGCTTTGAAATTTCGATTAAGGCTATTCGTCGGTGAATACATTTTATTCGTAAATACATGATATTCGGCATATAGTAGTAGCATTGGTTTGGATATTTGAAGATTTGATGTTTAAAAATTTAGAATTTCACAACCTTACACTTAAATCGGATGGTGGGGGGAGTGATGATGAGCTCAATTAAGATCTCATGGTTCCTTCATTCCGAGACACCTTGGTCCCTGATCTTCTTAGTCAGAGAAGGTAGTTGATCCAACCTGACAGAAAGATCATTGTCAGAAAGCCCTCTTTGTGAGCTGGAGTAATTTTCATATTTGTCTACCTGGGCAAACCGTTGCAAGGGCGGATGGAGGGGGGGAGCTAGGGGTGCACGTGCCCCCTCCCCCCCCCCCAAAAAAAATTTTTTTTTGAGATTAAAGGCTGCTTAATGAATAAATAAAAAAATCATTTAGGTTAACCGGTTCATTTCTTTTTCTTTGTCGGCTAACGCCCGGTTCATCTCTTATTCTCATTCGCTCTTTCACGCAGCTGCTGGTTTCGTTTCGCTTTCGCCCCGCTATTTTCGCGACGCTGCAGTGCTGTAGCTCATATTCTCGCAACGAGGCGACCGGTGGCGGCGGACGACGGTCGGAGACGGCTTGCCCTGCCTTGACGGCACGCGACGACTCTTAGTTTTTTTGCGTCGGCGTGACTTGCTCGGAAGGAATCCGTGAGGTATTTTTTTTTTAACAAACTCTTATTTCACCTTTAATTTCAATATTTAGAAGGCATAAAGAAATTGATCCTCTTGCCGAGGTCTTCATCTTCATTGGCCGGATCTGATGTTTGGCCGAGCGGCTCGAACTTCAGCCCGTTAGCCGGAAGTGATTTTTTTTTTCTTTGTTTTTTTCATTTTGCTGCAATTGATTTAAGTTAATATAGTTTATTTTATGAAACGAGGCCCTTAATGCTGGTTTCATTTTGCTGCAATTGATTTAAGTTAATATAATTGTATTGCTTGAATTCAATGTAGGTATATTCATAATATGATCTCTAAAATCAGTAAAGAATGATAATTCATTTGGTGTTTCTGCTCGATCAAATGTTTATGCATTTAGTTAATTGTTTGTTAAATTTTATAAGTTTTATTGTTTGTTTCTTGGCATTTATATGATTGATTTTATAATCAGATTAATCTTAAGGCATCTTTGAGTTGGAATATTATGGAGAGATATTTCAAACGGTCATCAGCTCGAAAAACATCAAATGACAACAGCAATCAGGTTGAAGATCATAAAGAATTGTTTTTCACATCAACTTCAATTAGCATTGGTGGCAGTAGCAAAAAGTCATGTTCATATTGCTTTGTTGTTCACTAACATTTCAAGTGTAATGAATCTTGTTGGTGTTTCTTGTAAGCGTCGCGACCAAGTTCGAGAAATACAACGTGAGAAGACATTAACTAAATTACAAAGTGGAAATCTATTATCTGGGCAAGGCTTAAATCAAGAAAAAACCCTTAGGCGTGCTGGTGATACGCGATGGGGTTCACACTATGAATCAATTTTAAGATTAATTACAATGTTCTCTACAGTTATTGATGTTTTGGAAATCATTTTAGAAGATGGCTTAACCTCAGAACAAAAAGGTGAGGCATATGCTTATATGCGATCTGATGATCAGTTCACCTCATTAAAAGATGTTGGAAGTCTTGCTGAGAAAATGATCCAAAGTAGGAAGGATATAATATATCCGGTTGTTTTTAAACTACTAGAATTGGCATTGGTATTACCTGTTGCTACAGCCGGCGTTGAAAGAGCATTTTCTGCCATGAATATTATAAAAAATCGACTGCGAAATAGGATTGGCGATCAATGGATGAATGATTTACTACTTGCTTATGTTGAAAAAGAAATTTTGGATTCTATTGATAATGAAGTTATCATTCAACTCTTTCAGAATATGAAGAGTAGACGTTATAAATTGTAAGTTGTTTATTATCTTGTATTTAATATTATATGTTTTGGGATAATTATTAATAAAAAAATTTTTAAAATTGCCTATGCCGGTCCCAACCCTAAATGAAAAAAGTTGAGGGAAAATTTTATTAAATTAATTTAGGCCCCCCTTGATAAATTTCTTGGCTCCGCCACTGATGGATGGGTATTTACTTTAAGTGTTTGATTATTTAATTTTTATTTTAAATATATGGATTTTAGTATTTTCACAATTCTTGATTTTCTGGGCGTTTGAGGGCATTTTGAATGTTTAATGCCCTCCGGTTGAGATCTATATTCAACACGGACATCAATGGAAAATATAGGGTCATTTGAAAATGTTTGAATTTTATGAAAATTTGAGGGCATTTTAAAATATGTGATCCCCTCCGGATGATATTTATATTCAACAAAGATATCATCGAGGTGTATGGAGTCATTTGAAAATATTTGTATTTTGTGAAAATTTGAGGGCGTTTGACAACATGTGATCCCCTACAGTTGAGATTTACATTCAACACGGTCATCATCGGGGAGTTTATAAATATTTTATTTTATTGATTGAACCTTGTCGACTTTGTGTACTCGCTAACAGAGAATCGGGTTCAAATTCATATTTATTTATTTAACCTGCGCGGCATTTTCAGGCATCACGTGTGTACCTACAACACGCTCACTAGGGCCTGCGTAGGTAATGTGATTAGATGCATTTCACACAATGCATTCGCATGTATGCATGAAATGATTTTTGAAATATAATTATAGCATAAAATGACAGACTAGAGTGAAACCCTTTGCTTATACAGGGGGATAATTTTGAAGTGCAGCTATAGTGTCAAATGACATACTAGAATGATATCCTTTACTTATTACATATGCATGAAAGGATATTCTTAAAATGCATGTATAGAGGCCCTTAGACATATACATATGATGCATCAATATGTTAATGTATGATGATACATTTATATAACCTATCATGCCTATTGCAATGCATATATGAGGGGGCATTTTAAAATGTTTGCATGTAGTGCATAGGGGTGTATGGATGCATTGGTGACTATTGTTGTCAAATGCGTGAGTTTTATTTCAAACTTTGTTGATGCCTTTTATCTACTTATACAAATGTTGTAGATCAGGTGGTGTGGCGTAGCGCTTCAGTGGCCCATGGTCTTTACTACCGATTCTCTACTTTTGCTTACAAGTGAATTATAGCGTTGTCACCTGCTGCCATGGAGTATTTCAGTGTTTTGATGTCAACTCCCTTTTATTAATCTTCGGGAGGTTGGATATAGTTACATTGCTTTGTCTCTGACTCATCACGAGGGTAGGACATTGATTTAATGCACTTGCTCTCTGAGTCTTTACCTGAATGGCGTGGCACATTTTCTAGTGCCTCGATATTTTAGAAGAGATGATAGAACGAGAACTTTCTCTCTCTTTTTTTTCTTTAAACAACAAAGTCAAAGGCCTCTTCAATAAGTGTTTGAGCAGATGTGACTCTGAGAAGGAGTTTGAGAATGCATGGGCTGAATTGATCACACAAGGGAACCTCCAAGATCATGTTTGGTTGTAGGATCTTTATAGGATAAGGAATAAGTGGTCAACAGCCTTCAATAAGGATTGTTTTAGCATGGACATTCTATCCACACAACGTAGCGAGTCTACTAATAATATGTGTCATGGCATTTCTAAGCCCACAAGTTCTATAACTGGTTGCTTTCTGGGTTTAGAGAAGGTGATGAGGAATTGGCGCCGGAATGAACAGGAAGAGGATTATAGATGCAGCCAGTCCGAAATAGAACCTGTAATAAAAAACTGCTCAATATTAAAGCAAGCTGCTCAATTTTCTTCAAAGAAAATATATTCATTTTTTGAATAAGAATTTTTACAATGTGTTAGTGTAATGAGTGTAGAGCTTGAGTCTTGTGATTCTTCTAAATTTTTTGTCTATTTCACTGAGAAAAATGATCATTCTAAACCATGGGTTGTTGA